GGGGTGGCTAGAGAGAGGAAACCAGCAGGCTTTGAATTCGCCTCTAGCCACGGAGATCTGACAACTAGAAACTAAGAGAAAAACTGACCTTTCCATGTAGACACAAACAAGCCTGGTTTCTGATCACCCATCCTGACAAGGTAAACACAGAAGCTTCCTCCTCCTCTCTAGAATTCTCTGTGGAGCCATGTCCCTTGCAAGTCCATCTCAAAATGCTCTCAATCCCCCTCCACATTTAGCAAACAGCTAATGAGCATCAGCCAGATGTGAACACAGACCTTGAAATGTGAGGGCTAAGATGGAAATCTAGCATTTACTGCTTAGCCGTGTGAGTTGGGGAAAATTATTTAATCAATCAGAACTCTGGCTTTTCCATCTATCAAGTGGGAACAGGTGGTTTAGTAGCTTATCCTAACCCATTTGCTACTTCCAGGCAGGGGGAAGAATGACCCGTCCCATTGTCCTCGCAGGCTCATTACCGAGCCCCAGGCTGCTCTCCCAGAAGGTGAAGCGAATCCCGACTGTGCATAGCTGTCAGGGGCGGAGGCCCGAGTGCTTGGGTGGGATGCGTAGCTGTGAGGACTCCCCAGGGAGATGTCAGCTACTGGATTACCGGCGTGTGAAATGTGTCAAGTAGCCTCTTTTATCACAAAGTGGCATCTGCATATCTTTTCTAGAGCCCTGGTTTGCCTCTTAAAAACATTTAAAAATTGGTGCCTTTATACTTTTTCGATGCATGTCAATTGCATTCAGTCAGGGGACTGGCGCATGCACGGATTGCATCTCGATCACTGTCGCTCCCACCATTTGTCCTCCCCCTGTTCTCTGGTCCTGTTCCCATTTCCACAAAGTCTACCTTCCTGCTTCCGATCATCTGTCTTTTATTTCGCTCCTTAAGTTGTCTTTGTTTTGGGTATTCATCTGAGAGAAACCATGCGATATTCAAGCTGTGTGTCTCAGTTATCTCACTTTGCATTGCGCAGAGACCTCGCATGTAAAATCTAGGCCAGAGCACATCCACAATGACAAGGCAGAGCTGGGGGCTGGGCTGATGGCTGCTCACCTTGCCTGTATCCTGTGGCGATGCATAAAGTTTAATTCTGGGTAAGATCTCAGGTTCTTGTGATTTTCATTTGACCATCTCACTGTGCTATCTTATATTTTGGTGAGAATTAAAGCACTTAGAACAAAGTCTGGGTCCCCCAAAGGCTCAAGTGTAGTAGGCTCAGTGTCCACAGTAACTGTTTTGAAAGGTGTGGGCCCTTTAAGAGGTGGAGCCAAGTGGAAGGGGGCTGGTTAGGACTGCCCTGGGAAGGGATTAACAGTGATCTCTGAATGGGCTAGGTCCCTGGGAAGTGGATTCTTTCCCATGAGAGCTACAGCAGGTTGTTATAAAGGAGTGAGCCAGCCTTGTCCTTCTCTAGGCTTTCTCTCGCCATGGGGTGGGATCTCTCCCCCCATGCTCCCACTGTGTGATGCCTCCTCCCCTGCGGTGACATAGTCAGCCACCAGCATCACGAGCCAAATAAACCTCTTTCCCTTCTAGGTTCCCCAGCCACAGGTGATCTGTTACAGCCACAGAAAACACACCAAGCCAGGGACAGATGAGTATCTGGGATGGACAGTGCAGAACAGTGCATGGTTCTGAGTTCTTATGCTTTGTCATGGGTTAAAGAGCACAGACTCTTAGAGACTCAGGTTCAAATCCTAGCCTTGACACTTACTAGCTATCTCACATTAGGGGACGCTCTGCCTTTGCGCTGGGTGGCACTGGCAGCAGCAGTCACCAGCTTTTGATCACACCTCACAAAGATACTCAGGAAAGAGGACCGGAAGTGCAGGAATTCAGAAAGTTCATGCAAGAAGTACGGGATAAGTGTGTTGGAAGCAAGGGGCAGCTGGCTTTTGAGAGAGCTTAATGGCAATGTGTCTTTTGCTGGAATAAGTTTTGAGAAATGTAAATATTCACCATATCATTTGGTCACACTGCCCAGGCTCAAGTTGACACCCAAGAAAAGTGAATGCCAGGATGTCATTATGCCTGGAAACTAAACGTGCAGGACTGGTCAGAGGGCAGCCTGGGGCCCAAGGGAGACTTACATCTCTGTCCCTGGTTTCAGGTGTCACTGCAGGGGCTCCGAGGGCTCAGCTCCTCCCTGTGTACACCTTTGAGCCCTCAGCCAAGGCAGCGCCAGCCTGGCCCCTTTTCTTTGAGTTCCTGGTCACGACTTCCCCATCCACAGGTCCTTGCTGAGACCCTTCTAGACATCAAGCCCAAGCTGGACTTGGGGAGTCTGGAATTTGCAGAACAGAGCCTGCGTCTAGGTCTGGCTGGGTGACTCGTCTTCCTGGAAACAGGAGCGGGAGAGATGGGGTTATCCTAGGCAGAGGCTGCCAGGAAACGTTCTGCCACACTCTTCCTTCTGCCTGTAGAATGCAGTGCATGGTGAGATCCCCTGTTCTGGCAGAGCTGCAGCATAGGAGTAGGGCCGTGGATGGTTCCATGAGTAATAAATGAACTCCTGTTAAGCTAAGCCTCCACTCTACAGGGACGTTTGTCACGCAGCTGGCGTCACGCAGGCGAATACATTCCCTCAAACACGACTCAGAATTTAGTCTACATGTATGGAACATTCAAGGCACATTTCCCAGGAACATGCTAAGGGTGCCTTTTCTTAGGCAATGGCCTTGGAACTGATTTTTAAGTAAGTTTGGGGTGGAAGTTCTGGAACTTCTGTTCCAGTTTTTGGTTGGCAGCTAAAGAGCTTTGGACTGTATATGTGCAGGGTGCTTGTCACAGAGCAAAGCGTGAGCACCGTAGAGCCAGTGGTCACGCACCTGCTCACAAACTGGCTTCACAGCTTTAAACCCCTGTTCCACTCCCCTGCCTCCTGCTGCTGCTGTTCCCCACAGCAGGTGCTCAATAAAGGCTTGAGAAATTGATGTAAATGGGATGAAACTTCCTCCTGCTCCTTCACTAATAAAGAATTTGGAGCCAAGCTGACCAATCCCTTTTCTGCATTTAATTCGCCAGTGTGGACGCCATATTTTTGCTGATGTCATTAAACCCTTGTAACCTCTTCCTAGTGCTTCGGGTACTGCAGAGTTGGGGCTCCTGTCTCTGTGTTCTCTGTCCCCCAAGCCTTCACTACCGGGCCAGGCTCCACCACGTACCCACTCTCAACAGCAGGCAGCTTCCTTCCCAGCCATTCCTCAAGGGTTGCTTTCACTCCTCAGCAAGTGCCAGCAGACACGCTCTGCCCTCAGCACAGTCCTGGGTTCTCGGGGCACTTCCTGAGCCCCAAACCACAACCCCTCCCAGGATTTTCCACTTGGGGGAGACACACTAAACCTGCTCTCTGTCAACTGCAGCCCACAGGCCAAATCCAGTCCACGGCTACTTTTGTAAATTAAGCTTTAATTGGAACGCAGCCACTCCTGCCATTCATCCACTCATCCTCGATGGCTATGTTCACAGGACTGCCGCAGGGGCGAGCAGCTGCGGCAAAGACCATGTAACCTGTGGAGCAAAAAGTACTCACTGCCTGGCCCTCTGCAGCAACTGACCAGCTCTACCTTCAATAAATGAGCACACAGGAGACAGACGAGCCAGTGGAAAGGAAATGTAACAGACACAAGACAGTGGACGTGCATGTATCCACGCAGGCACATACGTGTGTGTGTGTGTGTGTGTGTGTGTGTGTGTGCTGGTTTTAAGTTAAGAGGTTAGGAAAGGTCTGTTACACTGGCCTGTAAACCCTTGAGAAAAGAAGCTACCTCTGTCTGGATTGTCACCAGTGTCACCCGGCGAGGCAGCTCCAGGGCACGCATGTCAGTGCTCTCCCTAGCTGGCAATGTGGACACCCTGCAGGGCTGAAAGAATCTGCTTGTTGAGCCCACAGTACCCGAACCAGGAGCTGCAGCTCATCCTCCTGCTGAGTGGCCAGGAGATACCTTCCTCTCCTATCCTCTCCTCCAGCCCTCCGACCATCCTCCCTGCTGTCTGGACTGTGTGTGGCTAACACCTCCCTGTCACTGCATAGGCCACTCTGCCACCTCTTTACAACCAACATCCTCATGTTGCAGGTGTGGACAGAGGCTTTTCACCCGCCACCCCTGTGATTGCCCTGGGTCAGGATGGCCCCTGAAAATCAGTACACCATGCGAGAGCCAGAAGATAAATTCTGCTTGTTTTGATAGAAACTGTCTCTCCATCAAAACAGAGGAACCAAGGACATCCTCCCAGACAGGGCCCTGACAGACCTTGCCCTCAACCCGCCTGCTCGGCCCACTGTGACCCCTGCTGGACCGGGGGATGGCTTGGGCCCTGACATCATTTAAGTTTTATAGATGAGGAGACCCTCGAGAAGAAGAGAGGACTTTCTCAGTGACCATGGCTAAGAAAGGTAGAGCTGGGGCTAAGAATGAGTCCTGGACGAACAGAGATTAGGAGCATCTTACACACCCCACGCTCGAGGCACGGTGAGGTGCCGGGCCCATTGCCGGGCAGCTCATCACCTCCACACTCTGAAGCTGCCTTCCACCTGCCCTCCGCAGGACTGCCCGCAGCCTTGAATGCGAACAAAGTTCTCAGCAGAGCAGAGCCGCAATCGGGAGTGGACACATCTGAGACCCTCTCCTCGCTGTGGAATCTTCCCACTAACCCAGGACTCTGCAGACACTGAGTACACCTTGATTTTCTTTGATCCATTACAAAGCAGTCTGAATCTGGTCCACAGTTCTCGTGGCGTAAATTGTTATTTTGTTATTTACGTTGGCAGCCACTCCCTTTTGGATTAGCTTGTTACCTACGACCTGTGGGTGGACAAGGTCGATCCACTGCATCTGCATAAGGTCAAGGGGCAGGCAGGGGGCACGCCCTTTCCCTTTGCCAGGCTTTGCTTCTTTCTGGGCCTCAGGCCCCCCACTGTACGAGGGAAACGCCCACCTTGGTAGTGGCAGTGAGCCCCTGACCCCACCATGAGGCAGGAGGTGCCTACCTGGGCCGCTGCAGAAGGAGGCAATGATGGCCAGGACGCACACGATGCTGAGGTAGGGGACCCAGGGGGCGTGGTCCTGTGAGAGAACAGAGAGCAGCAGGTGAGGAGGCCAGGGATGTCCAGAGGACCACGGACCGCACCGCAGGTCCTGCCTGGTGTGCCTTCATGATCTTTGATGGAGTCAGGTCCTGTCCTGGGCCCCACGTGGAGAAAATGCAAACACCCAGTCATGTCACAGGCATGAGGAGGCAAGGGGACATTTCCTGGAAGAGCTCAGCAGAGCTGAGCGGATGGTAAGCGGTAAACAAGTGAATGACTCATGCTGATTGGGTGCTTTGTCTCAAGCAGGCAACAGGAGGTATTTTTATAGGTATCATCACATGCAAACATTTCTTAGTTCCCACTTTTATGTCAGCCACCACATTTACACTTTTATGTCAGCCACCACATTTACACAGCCTGTGCTCCAGGCAGCCCTTTCATAAGCTCTGACACAGGGACAAAAAGACAATGACCTGGGACATCTCCCAAGTCCCTCCCCTCACCCCTGCCCTTTGGTACTGAGGACTGAATGCAGGACCTTTGCACAGAACTACATTTATTTTATGTTGAGACAATGTCTCACTAAGTCCCTTAGTTACCCAGGCTGGGCTCAAACTTGTGATTCTCCTGCTTCTGCCTCCCAGAGTGCTGGCATTATGGGTTTGCACCACTACAGCCAGTTCCCAGGGGCTTATTCCAAACCCTGAGTTATGAGGAACCTGTGAAGCCAGCCTTTGAGGACAACCTAGAGCCCTGCTATTGGTCAGGCGCTGTCCCTGATGGCACATTGCCCTGACAGGGACACCTTCCCCTCTTCTGTGTAGCGTGTCCCCAGCACCTGCTCTCTAAAGGACAAGTCCCTGTCCCTCAGATGCCACCATCCCGTGATGACCTCTTTCCAGAAACATTTGCAGTATGAAGGCATTTGGCAATGACATGAGCAGCTTTCAATGTCAAGAGCTATTCTTCAAAAACACCAAGAGCATTGATTGACAGCAATCGATTGCTGGTGTGGACTGGTTGGAGACTGCACAAGTGCTCAGTTAATGCAGAGCGGGGGCAAGGAGGAGGACATGTGCGATCTGTGGTCTCACCCCTGCTCTGCCCTCCTCCAGCTGAGTCACTGTGGGCAGCTTATGCATTTATATTTATGTCTCCCATCTCCAGAAAAGGAGGAAACATCAGTTGTGTAAGGATGGAGGGTGTCACTGTCCATCCTCCCGGCAAGCACGTCTTCCCTGAACACTTGTTCCAGGGGCTTCAGGTGCATTTGAAGTGGATGCCTCACAGCATCCCAGGGTGGAGGGACAAGTGTCCCTACTTGGAGAAAGTGCCCCGAGAGAAGCAGAGCAGTGAGTGTCTGCCCAGAGCCTGCCAGCCGGGAAGCAGAAGAGCTGCCACTGCTGGTAACTTTCTAGCAAGAAGGCAATGACTGGGAAGCACGGGTTGTAGTCCCATGATGGAATAGGGCACCTTAGGGGCCATCCAGTGTGGTCTCCTCTATCCCACAGAAGCTCAGAGAGGGGACGTATCCTGCTCAGGACCTCACAACTCATCAGTGGCTATGACAGGACCAGAAGCGAGGTCTCCTGTCTCCACGTGCAAGGACCCATTGCCAAAGCCATCCAGCAGCTGTGAGAGCTGGATTGCAGGAGCTATCTGCAGGTAGGACGAACCCCCAAACCAAAGGCTCCAGTGTGGTGAAGCCAGGCACCAGCTCCATGCTACCCTCCCTGGAGGCCACGTGCTCACCTGCAGGGTCAGTGTGATGGTGAGGATCCCAAAGAAGAGGGTCATCAGCCCGAAACCACCAATGAGGAGGGGTCTCCGTCCCAGGCGCTCAATGACCAGGCCCTAGGCAGAGGGAAAAGAGAAGAAAAGAGAGACCGCATGCTTTATTTATTTATTTATTACAGATAACATGATTATACAGAAAAACCCAAAAACCTCCACCAAAAGGCTATTAGAGCTGATAAACAAGTTCAGTAAAGTGGCAGGACACATAATCAACATAGTCTCTTTAATAAATGATTTCTGGGAGAACTAGCAAACCACATGCAGAAGACTGAAGCTAGACCCATATCTCTCACCATGTACTAACCTAAAATCAAAACACATCAGAGGAATAAATGTTAAAGCAGAGACACTTAACATGCTGGAAGATAAGATAGGCAAAGCTACTGAAGTCATAGGTGTAGGCGAGCACTTTCTGAACAGAATCCCAGTTGCACAGGCAACAGTACCAAGAACCAACAGATGGGATCACATCAAATTTTGCCTCTGCAGAGCAAAAGCAGCAGCCGACAGAGTGAAGAGACAACCTACGGCAAGGGAAAACAAATTTTGTAAGCTGTTCCTCAGACAGAGAACTAATAGCTAGCATATAAAAAGAACTCAAAAGTATAAGAACACTCTAAGAAAAGACCCCATCAAAACATGGGCAAGCGAAATGATCAGACACTTTATAGAAGAAGTACGGGTGGCCAATAAATACATGAAAAAATGACCAACGTCACCTGGCATGAGAGAAATGTAAGTTCAAACAGCACTGAGAGTCCATCTTCCCCCAAACAATGGCCACCATCAAGAAATCAAATAATCACAAATGCTGGCCAGACTGGGGGAAAAGGAAACTTCTACCTTGTTGGTAGGAATGTAAATTAGTACAAGTACTATGGAAATCAGTATACCGATTCCTCAAAAAACTAAAACTAGAAATTTCATTTGATGTAGCTGTTCCCTTTCTAGGTATCTCCCTGAAAGAGTTAAAGTCATCGTATTACAGTGATACATGAATGCCACGTTTATAGCAGCACAATTCATGATAGCAAAGTCTCAAAAATGGCCCAAACGTCCATCAACACACGCAAAGCGGTGGAGAACCATTGTTTTACACCACGATGCCAGTCTTTAAGTGCTTTGTTTTGGGCAGGGCATCTGGCTTTTTGTTTTATTTTCCTAAGTACCTGGATGAACCAGGCACCTAAGTGAAGGGAAAGCTGCCCCTCCCTGCCAATGTGGGAGCCCTCTGAGCGATGGTCCAGGAAGACCCAGGGAAACAGCATTGACTGAGAAGGGAGGAGGCCTCCTCCTTCAGCGGAAGCAGCAGCAGGGTGCTGGGCTCCTTCCTCCTCCTCCTTCTCCTCCCCCAAGACCCATTAACATGCAGCCCGGCAGAAAGGCTTAGCAGGACATGGTAACTCCACTCAACACTGAAGTCCCTCATGAAGGCATTCACTACATGACTGCACAGATGAAGAAAGAGGGAGGGTGGAGAGAAGGGAAGGAGATTCTAGCATTGCACTCACTTCAAATTTGCCTCAATCAAAACCTGCAAACCAGACCTGATGTTATCTAAATAACATGATATACAGCATCTGCGTCCATCTCCGCCATGCTGTATTTTACAGTGACGCTCACCTACACACTGCACGGGTTACCACATGCACTCTGCTTGGCAGACGCACCGGCTTTCTCAGGGGCTTCAGGGCCCTTCAGAGTTCCCTCCCACGCAGAGGTGCGCTTCCATCCTAGAAGATAATGCTCTCCTCTCCGCCCACCCCAGGCTGATCGGCTCTGCGGATTCCCACAGCTCAGCCTGGGCTGGCTGACGTGATGCTCCTGCGCACGTGTGTCAGTTGGCTGAGTGCGTGCAGGGCCCAGGAGTCCGGGGAGGACTCGCTGTAGGCGGGGACACAGCCTCCATCTGACTGCTTCCAGGTTGTGGATTCTGGCCAAGGCAAAGGCTCCTCGGCAGTGAGCCAGGGCAGTTTCCTCAAAGGGCTTTATTTGAGCTGGACTCCATGAAGCAAGCGGGTTTTGAATGCTTGCTCTGGGCTAGCACCCAGCCTACTGGAACGGGTGAAGGCCAAGGACTGCAGGGAAATGCTATGACAGCTGCATCATTGCTTATTCTTGCCCTCCCTCCCTCTCTCTCTGTCTGTTTCTGTCTCTCTGTCTCTGTCTCTCTCTCTCACACACACACACACATACTTTTTCATTTTTATTTATTTTTTGTCTTTTTGAGACAGGGTCTCACTATGCAGTTCAGGTTGGCCTTGAACTCACTTTGTAGCCCACGCTGGTCTCAAACTCACAACAAACCTCCTGCCTCATCCTCCCAAATGCTGGGATTATAGGCATGTGCCACCCAGCTCCATTTCTATTTAAAAACAGTTCTGTAAGAGTTCCCCCAGTACCAATGACCAATGTGGGGAAGACAACTGGGAATCTACAGAGGACATTTAAGTGGACCGAACTGAGAAGAGCCCCAGATTAAGGCCAGCACCCAGGCCCCCCAACAAGCTCCTCCTCCTGACACTTTGGGATGCAACCCACCCATGGGTGACTCTCCAGACAGAACTGGACCAGGGGCAGATTCTGCTACAGGGGCATGGAGGATGGAGGGGCATGGTGTGAGAATCACTGACTCAACTCTCTACACAGAAGAGCAAGTTCCAGTTCCACTGCTACCTTTAACTTCTTGCAATTCTGCTCTAAATATGAAAACAAGTCTCTCCGAAGAGAAGCTGAGACCTTGGCAAGTCTGGGCTACCTGTAAGTTAACAGCATTTAAAAAAAATCTGTGTTCAGAAGTCAGAGTGTCCAAAAAAATCTCCACTCAAGATGGACTCTAAATTGAAATGAAAAATAAGTCACTGAAACATAAAACTTGTTTGCAAATTTCAGCAAAAAGATGAATGTGTGCATGCCTGCAATCCCAGCATTCTGGGAGGCTGAGGCAGAAGGATCACAAGTTCTAAACAAGTTGGGAAATATAGCAACTTAGCGAGATCCTGCCTCAAAATTTAAAAAAAAGGAGAAGGGCTGGGGATGTAGCTCAGCATGAAGGCCCTGGGTTCAGTTCTCAAACCATACACATAAAATATGACACTGTAAGAGAGCTGTGTGTATCTAATCTGCTTGGGCCACAGGTGTGAGACATGAAAAAAACTGACAATCACTCCTGGGCTTCCAGGATCCCCAACTATAATAAACAAATGATCTTAAAATATTTCAACCAAAGTGCAAAATCAGACAGAGATGGGGGCCACCCGGAATGGCAGCAAAGGCCAGAGCTGACCAGGTTTTCCAAGTGACTTCTCACACCCTGGTGAACACGTTTATATCTCTTGGGACACTTTTTTGGAGTCTTCACTTGAGGTCAGAGCTCCTGCAGCTCCTGGAGGAACACGGCCTTGCCCCCTTGCCCCTCTTCAGAAAAGAGAAGAGGTGGTTCTTGAGATATTCATCAATATGAATTTAAACTCTTCACAGATTTGGGCAAGAAGAAATAATTTCCCTCTTATTTCCTTGTTTGGTACCTGAAGCTCAAGCCCAGCACCTCCTACATGTGCAGCTTGGGTTCTGCCACCAAGCTACACCCTGGCCCCCACACTGAGCTCTTCCAGCAGAAGAGCAGAGACAGACACACCGGGTGTGCAGGTAACTGAGGGGTCAGCAGGACGGAGGAGAAGCCTTGGGGAGCTGTGGGGAGTGCCTGACCCCTTCCCCTGCCACTCCTTGTGCTTGTCCTGTGACGGCGGCAGCCCAGGGCCCAGCCAGGGCCCAGGAAGCTGCAGGATGTGATTGGAGAGCTGAGAAGGAAATCAGGAGATGCTGGGTGGAGATAAAGGATCAGGAGCACTGGCCGGGTGGGCTGCGGTGCTGTGGACCTGCGACCCGTCCTTGGCCAAACTCAGCCATGGAGGCACCCGACTCAGCAGTATTACTCAGAGGAGTGGGTGGAGGGGCTGGCAGTGGTGGCAGAGACGGGCTTTGAGGACAGAATTCCACGCATCCCACCTGGGGCTGCTGGGGCTGTCTCTGCCCCTCCACACCCTCATCCCTGCCCAACCCCAACCCCGGAGGAGGCGCCTCGGGAGCAGGGGAGACCCCAGTGGATGCACTCCTCCTGAGGGCCCTGGGCACACAGGTGCTTCTCACAGTGACCTAAGCACGGACTGTGAAGAGCTCCTTGGCCTGGGTTGGGGTTTCTCAGATGCTGGGTGCAGCCAGGGCCAGGAGCGGCTGCCAGGGCCCGCTCCTTGCTGGGCAGATCTGTTCAGGAATGCAGAGTGGATTTTCTCCACAGCAGACAGTGACCCGGTGCTCCGCTGTCAACACCCCACACCCTGCCCCACGCCCCACCTAGCCGGACACATCCCTGCTGCCGGGCCAGGACGCGGTCCCTGGCTTCCTTCCTCTAGGGCATTCTCCCTCTCGGTAGCCCTCTGTAGCTCCTAAGCAGTCCCCACCCACCCTCGTCCCCGCCCCCTTCCTGAACAGATCCGCCTCCACACACTTGCGGCTGCGGTGCTGCCTGTTTGGCGCTGGCCTCTCTTCTGGCTGCTTCCTCCGCTCGGAATGTCCCTCCCGCTATCCAGGTGCCCGGTGTCGGAGTGACGTGGGGACAGCGGCAGACCCTACTCCTAGTCCTGATCCTCCTCACGGTGCCCTTGGCCTCCTTCGCCCGTCCACTGTTCACTCCCCGATAAGCACTTCCTGCTCCAAGGCAGGGACCTTTCCTGTCTCAGCCAGCCCTGACCCAGAGCAGGGGCCCAACCTGCACCTGCTGAAGCGGGAGAAGGAAACGCCCTGACCACAGGCTCATCTTCTAGTCTGCCAGAGGCAGCCGGGCATCTGCAACATTTTCTGTTTGGGAATAGAGTGTGCCTGGGCTCACACACTTACTTTGTTCCATGATTCTGGGGAAGGTGGTGTTTGTTACCCAATGCCTGAGTTCTCAAACAGAAGCAAAATTTTGTGGAATGCTTCTTTTGGTGAACTGAATTGGTCTGGAACAGAAGTGTCTGTGAATTGAGGTTATTGTGTTAATAACTAAGAGTACTTATATCATCTGGTTTTTCAGGGCTGGTTTAACAAAATACCACAGATCCAGCTGCTCAGCCAGGTGTGGCAGTACATGTCTATCACCCTGGCCCTTGGGAGGCTGAGGCAGGAGGCTTGTGGTGAGTTTGAGGCCAGCTCAGGCTACAAAGGAAGTTCAAGGCCATTCTGAACAACAGCAAGAGCCTGTTTCAAAGAATGAAAAAATGAAAAACTAAAAACCAAACAATAAACAAAACAAGTAGGCTTGCCCAAACAATAGCAAGGTACCACCTCATAGTCAGGAGGCTGGAGGAGGGAGAGCAAGGCATGGGTTGGCCGCGCTTCCTCCAAAGGTGCCGGAGAAGGACTCACTCCAGCCCTGGTGTGCCATCCCTTGCCAGCAAAGTGCCAGTATTACACAGGGGCCTCCTCTGGGTGTGTTGGGGTCTCACTCCCCTTCACGCAGGGGTAGTCACATGGAGCAGGGACCCAGCTCCTTCCAGGGTGGAGTCATCTTACCCTAGCTCAGGACACCCGCAGTGACCCCATTGCCACACCAGGGCGCATTCTGAGTTATAATGACTCGGCACATGAATTTTAGGGAGACACAGCTCAAAGCGTAGCAGTGGTGACATTTACAGAGCACCTGTGCCACACTAAACGCTGAATCACTGCAGGATTCTCACGAGAATACCGGTGGTGTGCACATCTGCTGTCACCCCCACCTTCCCTAAAAAGCGGGCATCGGAGAGGTTAAGTAGCTGGTCCCGGTCATGCCCTGGGTAAGCGCGAGACCCTGGCCCCTCTACCAGTGCTCTTCTGTGACGTGTGCTGGGCCCAGTACGGAGTGGTGGAGCTGGCTGGGAGGCACGGGCACTGCGAGCTGTGGAAACTTAGACCCTACAGCAAGTCCTGTCGTGATCTTAGGAAAACTCTCTGCTGGGAAAGAGAAAGGGCCTCGCTGTGCATGGCCCGAGCGGCCGGGCTCCTGCAGCTGGCACAGCACTTGGCGGAAGTGCGGCACAGCACTTGGCGGAAGTGCGCCCCACCAGAAAAGCGACCATCAATTTGGAAAGAAAACCAGCTGTTCTGTGAGCGGGTGATGATTATTTACAGCCACCGAGCTGCTCAGGGACGCCCTCAGCCTCTATGAACTGCAGATCGAATGAACAAGAACGTCTCTCCCTTCTCAATCAGATCCCACAGCCATTTTGATAATTGTCAAAAGAAAAAAAAAGCAAAACCACGCAGAAGTCCTTTTTGTCAGGCAATGCCGTCCAGCGGCTGCTTGGAATCAGACACACGTGTGAGGAAACAAGTCACACAGACGCAGAGAGCTGGTAGGAGCCGACTGTGGACTGTGCCGGGAGGGAGGGCCTGGGCCCTGCACCCTAGGCGTGTTATCTCCATGGCAACTTCACAAGGTTTGCCTCTAATTGCTGCAGTAACTAGTTATCCTTCACCTTCAAAGCCTGGGACGGTGTCCCCCCGCCTCCTCTTTCATGATCACCTCTCCTCCTTTTCAGACCTTCCTGCCTCCCTCTTTCACTAAGGGGACCCTGCAGTTCTGTCCAGGCCCCCAGGTCATCCAGGACCAGCTCCCTACCGCAGGGTCCTTGGCTTGATCGCATCTGCACAGTTCCTCTCTGCTGCGTAAGGTGACACGTGCAGGGCTCCCTTGCTACCCAAGATGGACAGGGGCACAGCCAGTTTCCAGATGAGCAAAACACACTCAGAAATACCAGGCAGTTTATGCCAGACTGCTGAGCTGGCACCGGAATGACAGGAGTTTGAACTCCGAGTTGCCCCGTGTGTAACCTCACAGCCTCCAGGAACCAGGGCGGACCCTGCACCTCGCCGACTGTTTCCGTGATGGCTCTGCTTGTGCCCTGGCTCCTTCGAGGGGCAGGCGGGAGTGGGCTGCCTGTGGCACTTCTCTACCTTCCTCTCTGGTCCTGCTGCTTCTTCTGCCTTCACCTTCCTGGCCCCCTCCTCCCGGGAGTCCCCCTGGACAGCTGGTCTCAGGGTGGCACACAGTAATCACCTGTATACCGGTCTTTCCTGCTAGATCACTCGGCCTTCCCAGAGCCCCCTGGCACTGCAGCTTCCCGGGTGACTGTGAAATGGACGAGTGCCTGAGTGCAGGACTCCTCTGCAGGCTACAAAGCCATCAGTCCCTGCTTGAATGGCCGTCAAAGGTTCCCACACCCCTAGGAAGCACAACCCCATTCCACCGGGGTCAGAGCAGCCTCCAGAGACCGGGAGCGCTGTGGGTGGGCACCTGGACAGTGACCTTTGTGAGCCCTGTATGAGAACATGCAGCTGGCCAAGGAAGAGGGCATCTGCAGGGCCGGGACTGAGTCCTGCACCTAGAACATTCCCTGCCTCTCCTCGGAGTTTTCTCCCCCACTTTGTAGCACTTCCAAGCAGGTGCTTACTGAGTACCGTCAGCTTGTCCTGAGATGGCCTGCCAGTGCTGCGGGGCCAGCAGGGGCTCCTGGAGCCAGGGAGACAGTGTCAGACACAGCCCGGCACCCCCAGCACCTCACTTTCCAACAAGGTCACGGCATAGAGATGTTGACGGACTCACCAGGGCCACACAGCTCGAGGAGCAGAGCTGGGACGGGAACCTGGGCAGTGTGGCTCTGCCCTCCAGGTTCTGGACAGGGATGGCCAACAACCCACCCTGTGGACAGTGCTAGGGAATCACCACCCAGCAATGTGTGAAGACTGCTTTCACCACTAGTGTCGAGTCTGTTCTGCACACTTTCTGTTTTCTTTTCTTTTTTGAGTTCTGGGGATTAAATCCAGGGGCTTTGCATTGAACAACATCTCCAGTCCTTTCTTTATTTTTTATTTTTTGAGGCAGGGTCTTGCTAAGTCACTAAATTGCTGGGCTGGTATTTGAGGTCTTCCTGCCTCAGCCTCCCAAAGTGCTGGGATTACAGGCATGCACCATCATGCTTGGTTACCTGGCATACTTCAATAAAAATTTCTGAATAATACAGTGGAACTTGTTATGAAATGAGATTACATGAATAAAAGGGTTAAAGTTATCATATAGGATTAAGATTACTATGGTATAAGAATAAAACATGCACCTATATAGAATACAAGCAAAGATTTACCAAACGTCCTTGGGCAGTAGAGTGTAATTTCTTCTCTATTCCTCTTTGAATTTTACAAATTTACCCTAACGAGCTGGTATTGATTTCTTATAGGAACAAAACACAAAAAATAAACACAAAAACAAAAGAACCCTTGCATTTTCCCCATCATTTTCATCCTAGGTTGACTATTCTGCTAATCAAAGAAAAAAATTAATGATAAAAATTGGGTCCATAATTTGAGACAGGTGTTACATGAAGCATTGAAACATTTTCTCTAAAAAAAAAAATGAAAAAGACTATGAAGTGGTAGGGGAAAAAATCACACCTCTATATCTTTTATATCTATTAAAAACATGGAATGAAAATTTAGCTTTTTGAGATAGGGTCTCACTGTGTAGCCCAGGTTGGCCTTGAACTCATGGTGATCCTCCTGCTTCACCCTCCTGAGTGCTGGGATTATGGGTATGGCCACCATGCCCGGCTAATCCTTTACTTTGTGAACTCCTGCATGTTTGGGAGATGAGATGACAGTGGCTATGAAACCGTTGAAAGGCAAGGAAAGTGACTTGACACCCAAGGGCCCTCTCCTCTGAGCCCCCCGGGTGGACATGAACCTCTTTCGCAGGTTCATACTAGCTCAGGTGGCCAGGGCAAGGTTCAGGGTTGGGGTGGGGCGTGTGTCAGCCGGAAGACCCACGGGAAGCGGAATGCATATGGGATGGGCGACAAGCCCACGTGGAGCTGGGTGCTGAGACCGCGTTCGGTGCCAGAGGACAAGGGGTTGCGGGCAGGATCCCGGGGCACTCACAGAGAAGACGGCAGCCAGTGTCTCGACGCCGCCGGTGCTCAGGGTGATGTAGGGGATGTTTCCCGGCGGGATCCCAGCTTCTCCGAAGATGCTGTTGGTGTAGAACCAAATCTAGATGCGGGAAAGAAGAGGAGGAATGAAAGCCGGAGGGAGAGCGGCGTCTGGCTCCTGCATTTGAGTCCGGGGCAAGGCAGTCTCTGAGCTTCGCTGTGAAACCGGAGTCACGGTCGGGCTGCGACTCAGTCGCTCACTCTAACAGAACTCAGCCTGGAAGTGACCTGGGGCCAGCTACCAGGCCGCCTTCCAGTTTTCCTTTCAGTTAAGTGCGGCAGTGAGATAGAGATGGGAATGTCGGTGGGGCTTCAAGGAAGTCTCCCATTTACAAAGGTGCTCTTCCTCATGGCAGTATACTCTCATCCCCCCTTCTTTCTCTCTGCTGTCAGGGTGATGGAAGGATGGCTGGAACTTCAGCAGCCCTTTCGGATTATGAAGCCACCTTCATAATCCTTAAGGATAGCATTGCTATTAACCTCTATGGGAACTTTGCAAGAACCAGAAAAGGTCCGTGTTCCACTAGACACTTTCTGTCCCCTACTAGGTCATCATAATAAATCTGCAATCAGTGCAATGTGAATGGTGTGATACATGCCCTGCATAACCTTCCCTATGGTGTAGGTCCCTGCTGGGGCTTCTACCACTGAGGCTAGACCTAGTTCTAGCTGACACAAGCATCCACTGTGGACTCCGGGTTTGGAGCCCTGGTCCTTGTTATGGTTGATCCAACTCTGTGGCTGACCATTATAAGCCAAACTTATAATTTCTTGTACATTTGTATATCTTGTGTTATATCTGTTTCTCTAGCAAACCCTGACTGATATAGTCCTTGTTGAGAGAGCTTCCTGGCCCGCTTGGATGCCCTCTCCTCCCTGATCAAAAGAGTACCCACGCTGCCTTCCTGGTCCTGTGTGACGCTGGGACCCAGGTGGCCAGTGTCATGATTTGGAACAGCCCTTGAGGCTTAGCACCAATACGCTGCTCCCGAATGACTTCTGGGGCCTCCCCTGCCCAGCCGTCACTTAGGTCCAGAGCCTGCAGGGTAACAGGAAGCCCGAGCAGCTGAACCCCGAGGAGCCCACTGCAGTGTTGGGGGTACAACGGCCTGCCGAGTATCCAGCGGAGACCTACCAGCGCACCGCTCACCACCTGTCAGGCCAGCCTTGGCAGAACGTGCGTGCTATGACACTCAGCACTTGGTCTCTGGTTGGTACAAATGTGTCCCATGAGCAGTATTTGTCCAGTAGAAATTATCCGTGCACCGGGGGAAGACCTGGGCCCTGTGTATATGGACAGCTGGCTAAGTCTTCGTGAAGAGAGGAATTCTTCCAAAGGCTGCAGGCACACCTGGAGACGCCAGTGCAAACCACTGCACAGTTCTCAGGGTGAATTATTGGAAGAAATGGGTTTTAAGGTTCCTGTGAATAAAGACCCCACTCCGGCCCCCACTGCTCCACACCTGCCTTCCTTTCAGCGAGCTGGGGATGACAGCATCTCTGCTGTCCCCCACAGTGCGCCCAGGTGGCTCGCAAGGCGCGCACTCATCTCTACAGCTCTTAGGAAGTGACTGTTATTCCCTGTGACCTGTATAGAGCAATATCAAGGCCACACTGCCAGCCCCACCCAGACACACCCAAGCATGGCTTTGCTAATCTGCGAGGTGTTCCTTAAGCAGTGAAGTTGAGATAGCAAAATTAACAGTCACCGTGACCATTGGTATGGGTCCAACTTTCAGCCCAAAATACACAGCGCCACTCTCTGCCCAGATGGCACCCCAGCTCCTCTCCTTTCCTGAACACCCCCGTGCCCTACCTGTGTTGTGGGGCCCGTGGGAACTGGAGACACAGGCGTGGTGACATGGGGCCTCTGCCCTCGAGGGGTGAGGGGCTCCAGTCAGGCCAAGGGGAGCTGCGGGGACTCTGAGCCCTTTGCCCGCCCAAGCTGCCAGGAGGCACCCCTTCCTCTCGGGCTAGTGGGGCTCCATGGAGACAGCAGCTGCTCAGCAGGAAGGCAGTAGCCAAAGAGAAGCGATTTTAAGTGACAGGTCTAATTTTTGAGAAGAAGATGTGAAAGCTATTGCGAGAGAAGGGGGTGGTCAATACGGTACTAAAAGGAATTTAGAAATAACTAAACTTTAAGTCCAACTTTGTGCAACTGCTCAGGTAAAGGACTCCACTTATCGACTTGTAGCATTTGTGTACAGAGCCGGGTAATGTTTGGTTCCTACAGTGGTTCTCAGCCTGGGGCGGCCTTGCGGCCAGCGGACATTTAGTGACACTGGGACACTTGCGCCAGCTGCCCAACACTTTGTGTAGATTTCCTTTGTGCACGGCACTATTCCATGCTACAGATGAGGAAACTAAGGATCTGTCAAGTTCATGTCTCCTCGGCAACATGGAGCTAGTGGAGGTTGGCAGAGCTGAGGCTGGAACTGAGGCTCGTAGGGCCCAAAAACGTCCCCCCAAGTCCTCCTGCCCAGAGCCTGGCACTCACCGCATTGAGACCGCAGAGCTGGTAGCAGGCCATGGTGATGACCACGGTGATGACCTGGTAGCGCACAAAGGGAGCCCTCAGCAGCTCCAGGACGGACACTAGGCGGATGTTCCTCTGCACGCGGCTCTCAGCCAGGACCTCCTCCATCACTCGGGAGACATCTGTTTTGCCCAGGAACTTCTGGAAGGCTGTAATCAGGGTATGGTTAGGATGTCTGGCATATCTAAGGCTGGCCCCGAATGGATGGAGCCTGCATCTTGTCAGGGGCCTTTGAAACCATGGAATCCAAAGTCCCTGCCTGAGGTCACCCAGCCGGCTGGCAGAGAACCAGGGTCTCCTCATCACCTCCATGGTGGAGTGGAGCATGCCCAGGGTTCGAATCACCTCCACTAGGGATAACTGAGTTCCTGTTTACCCTTTGTGATCACTGTTGTCTCCGTGGCTACTGTAATAATTGCACATGGTATCAGGCACACTAACCCCGGACTCGGGGTGTCCCATAAACAGGGAGCACTCAGTGGGCCCCTCTGTTTGCCTGGGCCTGTCTTCTCATGCTCAGTGGGGTGTCCAGAGGGAGTTGCGATCCCACTTAGCCAGGATCCAAGTGGATGCCCTGGAAACATCTGTCACAGGGAGAAAGATTGAACCTAATGACCTCCGAGGTCATTCCACGTGTCCCTCAGGAATGCCACCACCATGAATAGAAGTCGGCTCAAAGAGCATATCTTCCCAGGGCTCACACTCCTCTTCATGATTTATACTATTTCCAAAGTGAACATTGCAAGTTTCTAACCTCCCCAAAACCTGCAGATTTGACTGAGACCTTAATTATGTAAACCTCCCTTCCCTGAAGAATGCCCAAGGTGAGCTGCCTGATCAGACCCTAGATCATTATCAGGTTAGAGCACGATTTGAATATGCAGCTCTCTGACATCCTTTCTCCAGCAGGAAAGACAGCGGCTGTCTCCCAGCTCTGGGGGACAGTCCATCCCAGAACCAGCAGGTAGCGTCCTTAATGACTCTGCTCCACACCACAAGGCAAGTGAAATTGTTCATCTCAGGCTGGAAAAAAAAAAGCTGTTAAACTTGCTCCTGATTCACACTAAGGCTTTGGAGTGTTCTTTGCAGCATTCTCCCGAAAATTGCAAAATGTCTCTTTGCAACCTATGAGTTAATGCTTTTCCCGTGTGGACTAAGGTTCAGGGAGAGAAGCGGCTGGATGAGTCATGCTTCTGTCCCGTGCGTGGAACTGCAGGATTTCTAATATTGCTTCGAATTTCAAGATGCAACATCTCTGTGATAAAACAGTCCCAGAGCTGGGGGGCAGGAGCATATTTCCCCCCTCCCTGCGTGCATGTCTTCCAGGATAAAACAAGGCGAGCTTGAGAGCCTTTTTTTCCTCCTTTCCACTTCAGCTGACAAGAAGCTCTCAGCCAAGTTCAAGTTCAGCCCTTCACAGAATTTCCTGGAGGTGAAATCTTTCTTCGTCTTAAGAGCTCTAATCATCTCCGACAGGCATGATCGACCTGCAGACTGCGGGCCTCCTGGCCTCCTTTTATTTTAATGTTATAACGAAATATTTCAAATAGAGAAAGCTTTGTAATTTATACGCATGAACTATATTCTGTATTTCAGTGTGGCCCAGGACGCTTCTTGTCAAGCAGTGCGGCCCAGGCAAGCCGAATGCTCAGAGTCCCATGTTTTCTTTGTAACTCTGGAGTGGGTTTCCCACCAGCAGATCCCTACATGCACACAAAACACTCTGGTCACTTTCACCGCTCCTGGCTTTACCTTTCCCCTGGTTTGGACACCCTTGTTGCAAAACATCCATGTAATCTCGGTACCCAGGATGCCTTGGGCCGGACACTACGCAGTCAGGTCCTGTGCATTGGCTCACGTTTATCAGTGTTGCTGGCCTCTGCCCACCCGAAGCCAATAGCTCTTGGTGGTGACAATGGAAAATGTGTCCAGATACTGCCAAATAGTTCCTCTCCAGAGGCACCCCCAAGCATCTTTCCCCAAGCGCTGCCCCAGCTCCCCTACCTCAGCATTCCTCCCCCAGTGCCCCTCCCTAGCACCCGCCCCTGGAACCTCTCCCCCAGCACCATCCCCCGGCACCACTCTCTGGGCTCCAGCCCCTCCCTCTGCTCCCCTGTTGTGCTGTGGTGCATCTCTGCTGACCTAGGCCCAGGGCCACCCTTTGACTGCTGACTGCCAGGTCCGGCCCTTCCCCATGGCTCCACCCTCCACATATGGGGGTTGGGCTTGGGTCCCCACTATCTCATGGCTCCATTCACAGTCGATTTTCAGTATATATTTCCTGAGCAGCTACTACATTACAGTCATGGTGCTAAGTAGGAGCTGAAGGAGCAGGAGCTACAGATCTTGCATAGATGTCATCCCTGCTCCAACATTTCCCAGTGTGTGTTCTGGGAGTGCCTCCGTGGAAATTAGAAATACAGACACAGCTGAGGAAATGAGCCACAAGTTCTACTCTCCCTGGGCTACTTTCCCTGTGGACAACCCCTGCTCCAGCCTCGGAATGCTCATGGGTGAGGTGGGGCTGAAGTCACCCACATCTCCATGGCATGATGACTGCCCCCTGAGCAGAGCTTGGCGAGCCATACATGCAACATGCAGACTTCCGCCTTCCAGGGACAGGTTGCCCCACGAAGAGGCTCAGGGGCATTAAGCCACTGCTGTGTCAAATGCAAGATGGACAGATGATGTGGAGGTGCCTCTGAGGCTCTGGAAGGGGCAGGGTGGGAGACTCTGGTCAGGGCTCCCACACACAGCTGAACCAGGCTGCTGGTGGAGCCCAGACCATGGCATTTTGGCTGTCACTCCTTGGACGGGTGGGTCAGCCTCCCTTTGCCCTGTGCCCTCAGCTCTGGGACAGTGACACTACTTGAACAGTGGTGGCTGGGGAGATGTCGGGGTGGGGCCCATGGGTATCCCCTAAAGGTTTGGGAAAGCCCATGCCTTCCTGGGGTGCAGGACTGAAGATGAGTGGCTCGGGGGACGTGCTAGCTGGCCCCCATGGACAGCACAGGTCATGACCCTCCAAGAGAGTGGGATGGCTGTGGGGTCTGCTGAGGAAAGGGAGCCCCTGACTGTATGATCCTGCCTACACAGACCAGGCTTAAGTGACGGATATTCCTATTCCTTCTCCCTCTTTTCTGGACACGGGAAGCCCAAGACCCGGGAGCTGGCTGAGTTCACTTTCTGGTGAGGCCGCTTCCTACCGTGTAGATGGCTGCTTCCCATGGTGTCCTCACGTAGGGGCAGATTAGAGGGACACCAAAAAACCCCACATAGAATCACCACACGCTTATCTGTGGCTGACGACTGTAACATCATCACATGCTTATCATAGACCATGTGCTTGAGGAATGTTACCCTACTACACACTTGAGATTCCTGGTGAACATGTTACTCACATTTACTGCATGCTTAAGAAATCCCCAACTGACCTGTCCCTTCCAAGAAACAAAGGCTAAGGCCCTGATTGGCCTAGAACACATCAATCAGTAAAACAGTTATTTTTGGAGAACCAGCTCACCCTTGTAAGTGAGAGTACATCCCAGACCCTGGTGCGCACTCACTCGGGTCCCCCTGTGTTGCAGTTTATGCTGCTGTCAGGAGAGCTTTTCTTCTGATTCTGCATTTGCTACACCTTCCATAAACCTTCACATCCTACCATACCAGTCTCGACTCCCCTGTTTTCTACTGAGAGCCCCACTTTTTCATTCTTCACTGGAGTGAGAGCAGGGACCCAGAGAGAGGTGGAGGGTCACTGTGGGGGACCTCTGGTGTCCCCCGGCAAGCCCCCTACTGGACACAACACTCACCAGGCCCAGAGAGCGCTGACGTCTCTTGTCTTCTTAGAAAGCACCAGCATTATGGACCAGGCCCCGGCCTTCTGAGCTTACTCAACCTCATTATTGCCTTACAGGCCCACCTCCGGGTCATACCACGGCTTAGCGTTTCTGCATGAACTTGGGGGGCCACAGTCCAGCCCCCAACAGTTCCCTGGAGCTCCTGTCCTTCACTGCCCTTGATTGCTGCTCCCAGCTTCCCACCAGCCCAAGTTACGTTCCCACTACAGAAACAAGGACAGGTAGGG